AAACCATCAGTGCTGCTTACCTATTTAAAACATTAAGCAACACACTTAATGTTCTGGACAAAGATAAAGAACAAGCAATACCTCACATTCATACCACCTCTTCCATGTATGTCTATAAAGAGTAGCACTTACTGAAGAGGTGAAAAGCTTCCTCCCCCTGTGCTTTTGAACAGAAAAGACTCAGCTGTAAATTTTAACTGCATGCTTCAGTATTTTCTGAATTGCTTAAATTTTTGAATGTGCTGCTTTTGCTATTTTGACTGCATCCCACATGGTAATGTTTCTGTCACTGATCAGATGACTTATGTAACTGCTTCCTGCACAGATAATTGCAAATATTGAACATGCAGTTTGAAATCCATGAAGGGCAGGCTAGCTAAGCTTATTACATAAATTAGTCAAAAGACATAATTTGCTATGGGAGTTGTAAATTCTATGTTTTATTTAATAATCATAATTTCCTATTTGATTTATATGTAGACCACAAATTACTTGATGTAGTTCACAAATAATTGCAAGTAGCATATAAATGTTAAACATTCACTCTATTCTTGGTCTGTTCAGGACTAGGGAAAAATAACAATTTTTCCAAATGAATTATTCATATCAAATTATTCACTAAACTGTTTGAACACCTATTTCACTACAAGTATTTTAGTCTTAATCCTCCTACTACTTACAATGATTATAAATCAGGAGGGTTTTTTCCCTGAAAATGTAGTAACAGCTGAATAAAATTGTTGTGAGTGCATGGAGAACCAGACCATATATTTTCACACATCTAACTGACAGAAAGTGGGGTGATTTTTTCCTGTAGCATAGCTTTAGCGATGGTTCCCTGCCATCACGTCACTAGGCTCATGTTCATTACAGAGCACATACTCATCACTTCACTCATGCAGATGAAATCCACCTGTCAGAGTGATCCAGGGACTGGTCTCTCTGTTGCTCATGACTCTACACATGAGCAGGGTAGTGGATTTTAATTTGAAACTCTTCTTTATTGGGTTCCATGCTACTCTCCTGCAGTGTTCAACCAGTACCTATTGGCTAATTAGAATGATTTATTCTCAGTGCTGGTGCAGTATTAGGATTAATGCATATCACTGGATGGAGGAGAATGGGAAATGCCTGATGTGTGTTTCCTTTATGCCCTCAGGGCAGTACCACATCACACATCATGTGTGTCTCCTTCCTTCCTTCTTTTTCAGTGATATTCATTTCTATATAATGTTGTAAAAGACTGACATATTTGACAAGGAATATGGGATTGAGGGCAAAGGCTCTCATGACAACAAAGATTGAGTTTCTCTCATGGCACTATCCAACTGTTCTTACTGTTTCCTCCTTCTACCACGGTAGGTATCCTTCCAAAGCTACTGTGTAGTACTCAGTGTGAATTAATGAGTTCTTTTCTTCAAAGGTGATGTTTTCAAAGGTGGTTGAGAGAGTGCCACTTGTCTGCTTAGCAAGACCTGCCTTTGTAAATGTGTTGTCAATAGAAGACATTCTCATGGCCAGCCTTCTGGCCATTGTGGATCACTCCTGGGTCATCTACCTTGCCACTTGCAGTAATCTGTGTTTCTAGAGGTCAACACCTTGAGATCTTGTATTACACAAATCCTGTGCCTTGCATGCCTCTACTTTTCTGTTTTAGTGATGTAGGCACCATAAACATGTTTGAATAGTGAAGAACATGACAGAGGTGATGGAAAAGGAAATAAGGTCAATGTTGTCTTAAAGGTACACTAGAAGTCTTTTCTACTTTTTGTGCCTTGAAACTGTTTGACGTAAAGGTGAATGGCTGGTTGGGCTAAAAATGAGGAATTGTTATTTTTTTTTTCCGTTACTGTTTTAACTAAAGACATTTAGCTGTCCTGTCCTGCTACTGACCCTATGCAGCAGGGGTGAGTGAAGCCTGCTCAAGTCATAAGTGTCTGGTGAGACACTTTGAGCCCAAACAGATGAGAGTGGCAGGATTAGATCTAGACAAATATTAAACAAAACTATTGTGACTAGATGTATTGATGTATTTTAGAGACTGGTGATGCTTGTTCACCAGCCTGATGAAATCCAGAGCTCTATTAAGTTCCTGCTATTGGAAGTACTGTTAATGCTTATATATATATATGAATCTGGGATTCTATACATATTCAAGTCTCTGTTATTTTTATGTAGTAAAGGAATAACTCCAGTTTGACTTTAGGAGGTGATGGTATCTGCTGGTTCTTTGGAGTGTGTCAGCTAGTGACATGAACTGACTCCACCAACTAAGGTGCTGGTTCTTCATCCATTCTTTCCTGTGTTTAACATGAGGTGAACAATATGGGCAGTGCCTCAGCAAAGTAGGTGTTGCAGATGTAACTTTCTGATTATTCTAGCAACTTGTGTGAAGAGCAAAGTACAATGTATGTGAAGCTATAGTTTCCATCCCGTGCAAGGGAGGAATACCGTGGAGGTTGCTTGGGGTGCAAAAGGCATCCAAAATGTTGCCCTGTCAATACTCTATAGATTCTCCTGTTTTAGATTATTGTGCAATACCTGAAAGAGATTTACCCTAGAAGTGAGGGATCTGTGGTGAAAGGAACTTTTCTTGTAGAAAAATGAGTTTATGTAAATAAGAGAAAGATCTGTTATGAAGGGAGTCTTTGTGTGCATGAGCTCTATAACCTCCCTACCATCTTGATCTCAACGGC